CCGAGTCGTGCAGATCTCAAGAGCCTTCCTGTGACAACTGTATGTCTTCAACGCCTGAAAATGACTACACAGTCACTTTAATTAGTTCATTCCTGATAATGTTCTAAAAGCCTTCCAGGTCATCACGACGGCATGTACCAACCACTTCACGGTACGAAACCGTAAATGACGAGAGACTTAGTAAGGGAAAGTTTATTCGGAATTGCTATCTGTACACCTTTTCTTCAAATCACCATTTGCAGAGACCTTCCGTGTTGGGCCTTGTCTGTCCTTCATATTGTGTTTCTTTGCCTTCCTTCGCACATCTCCCGTGTTTCTCCGGGAGGCTGAATCCCTGATTTCTCCGACTTCAAATCTATCTCCCTGCCACTTGTTCTTCTGCAAATGAACTTCTCCTTACATACCACCGAAAAGCCACACCTTTGGCACGCGCCATGGTGCTCTGTGTGTCTATTTTCGAAATGTGATTTTTAACAGTGCATCTTATGCTGCACCTACGTCACGTTTCCTTTTCTCACTTTTGTTTCCTGCTTGGTATCTCTCTACGGAATTTTGATACATTCTATTATCAGTTTGTGCGTCCTCAACCTTAGTGTGTCTACAGGATATACAGAAATATATATTAAAAGCTATTTTCCCTAGCTGAAAATGTTTTTTCAACAATTTCCAATCAAATTTCAGCGGATATTTTCTTTCAGAGTGCCGGATGGATTGCTTCGATTACTTTTTCTAAATTGGAACGAGGGAAATTCAGTTTGATGAAAGTGAAAAGAATGAATGAGTAATAGGATTTACAGGAATAATCAGACTGGTTTTCATGAATTCGCTGTCATAACATTGCAAACATGGAAAACGAATCACAGTGAGCTTGTTTAAGGTATGTACTGGTGACGATTTCAACAGGACATCCGTCTCACCATGACTTGTACATCTCGTAAACTGTCAACAGATATGAACTGAACTCAAAAACTACCAGAGTTAGTAGAAAACACGGGCGAATGGATGATGCGATGGTAGACCAGCATATGCGTACCGGATGAAGCGTGCATGGTAGTAAGTTCGGGAGAAGTTCTATCGAAGGGATGTAGTAAATATGTGTACCTTAGAAGTGTTTTACAGATACAGTTAGGATCCCGTGGTTTGCAGAAGATTTTTTGAGTTTGGTGAGCAGTAAAACTTTGCTATGTGTAAAACGGCAGTAACCAGAAATTTCAAATTTCATTACAACTGACTTCAGCGGTGTCTCCACTAGAGTGGCCTACCTTGAAGAATGATCTCGTGAGGGCGAGTGCCTATCAGACAATCTATAGAACGATGTCACGACTGAGTACGTCAATTCATATGGACGCGCCAGGAATTAAGATATTTGGGTTTTTTTGAAATTCTCGCCAAATGATATGACCCATGTGTAAGTATTGGAAGGGAATAGTGATTTCATTTTACCTGAAGTGTGCAAACAATTATGTGTATTCCGAGAAATCATAGTGTTTCAATTTCCGGGGTGCAGAATATTACCGTTTATGACTCGTGAAGGTTGGAAAATGACAAACGACTCCTTTGTGAACAGTGCAACATGTGAAGGTTGAGCTGATTCGATTGTTTTGTGTGCGCTGCCATGCGTGAACTGGTGTCATCTTGAAGTTTATACCGTTAACCAATGCATAACCAATGTTCAGACTGTTGTGTATCTTACTGTGTTAGACGCATTGTGGTCATCTTAGCTGTCACCTAGGCAGACAGCCAACACATACTGAACAATCTCAGGCAGGCATAGAACAAAGAATAGTAGGCAATCCGATTATTAAAGGGTGGTCGCGCTGATGATAGAGACGAATTCCGACACATATAAGTGAGAGGCAGATGCCTATTTTCTTTCGAAACACCATGTGAAAACAATCACTAGATAGGTAGTGGAATTCGCCACGTGGCACAGAAATAATGCGTTTCAGGACAGCTGGATCCCTTAGAAGATAGCGTATTCCCTGGTCGGTTTCAGTCATGAAGTTGGTGGGAATTCTTTCGCTTTCCAGGTACTTATGAGGTCCCAACCGAAGCTCTGGTTAGTAGTTTCAGGTTAGGGTGATAGTGATTAATGACACGTTTTGTGAGACGATTTCGGTACGCGTGGTCCGTTGAATCTCGACAGCATTTAGCCGAATTGTTTGCTATGCATGTTAACTGATACCTTAAGTTTTATCTACCTGTTTTCTTCTCGCTTGCTTATTTTCACCCCGTATGTGTGCTGACACATTAGACCTCAAATCTAGAACTATCACTCTTGAGAAAATACGAAAATTTTACGATGCACAAATGGGAAAAATGGGGCAATACCTAAATAATGCCTACGATCAATAGCGGTAGAATATCTAAATGGCAGTCTCTAACAGAATTTATGCATTTTGGACTTAAAAGTTCTCTCTGCCATTCATTACAAAACCACCAAAGATAAATAGATTTCTACGAAACAAAATCACTAACTGAAATAGTTGGTTGAGGATCCACTAGGAAGAAGCCAACGAGAAATTATATCTGGTCTACAGGTTATTGGAATATTGAAGAATGACTAGCGGTTAATTGGCTTTTGGAGCTACTAATATCCACGGGATAGGATAGAGGCACAAATCAGCTGACTGCAGCAGTTTTAAGGTGTTATCGTGATGTTGTGTTTGGGCTATTCTACGTTGTTTTTAGTGGTTTTTCCGACAGAAATGCATTTTGAAAATCGTATTTTAACGAAAAAACCTGTAGAAAGTGAGGAAAATAATCGTTTTCATTGTGTTGACGAAATGCTGTCTTTTCATCGAATTGACATCACGAGGTGCATAAGAAATGAAATAATTCTTTGGAAAATGTCAATTATGATAGAAAATGCTAAATAATTCTAATTTTTGAAGTTTATTTTACGTATATGATGAGATTGGGGTTAAATATGGAGGTAATTATGCTTTCATGATTATTACCAAATTGCACAGTAATAAAGGAAATTGAGTTGCTTAATTCGTCAGATAACGGTGTAGAGATGGTCATTTAACTAGTAGGCACTGTATTATATGTTTATTTATTAAACTCATCACATCTTGACTGAATTTTTATTTTTAATTTCCAGATTATGGTCTTCAATCCCGCAATCACTCAATACATTTAGACATTCTAATTGGGATTAAAAACTATAATATTTGTGTAAATGATGAAATATTTGTGATATTACTAATGTATTTATCGAAATAAATATTGTTTTAAAAATTCTGCTCTATTAATATCTAGTGTTTGTCGAGTTGCAAAGTAATATCAGTGTAGAAGTCATAATATTCGTAAAATGGTATATTCACACGTTGTCGAATTCGGTCACGATGGGGTACTGTTGTCGCTTTTGAGTAATTGCTTTCGCTAGTAAATCTTAAATAGACGATATGCACAACAAAGGCCTATTTAATGCGTCACAGTATTTCATGATAACGAAATAATCAACGAAGTTTAGTGACGTAGTCAACTAATGCACGAGTCTAAGTGTTGGTGTGATCATGTAAGAGCCTTTTGATACGAAATGATAACACAAGAGTAATGTAGTTTTCTCTTTATTACCTAATGATACCCTTTGAGATAGTGGTGTTAAACGCAGCATAATAATAACAGAGTATTTGTGATAAATGGGATATAAGTTGCATTGTGTACTTGAAGTGCCTAGACTAATAACACAAGTCGTGTGCATATAGAACCTACGTTTGCTGGGTTATGTTTCGTTATTACAGTACGAGCACATGTTTGACGGCTACTTTCGAAACGATCTTAAATATTAATCTTATACGCAACTGAAACACTTTACGCAAGGCTTGATGACGCATTGAGGAAGTAATAATAGTTTAAGACTGACGCATTTCACATAAGTATTAATACGTTGCCTATCATTCTCGTTAGCTCTGCAATGTCGTCCAAATGATAAGTGAAAGAGACAATGTTAGTCAACATAAATGCATATATTTGTAAGGAAACAATAATCAATAAAGTTAAAATTGACTCAGAATGAAAGAGTACATATCTACACTAAAGAGAGTTAATAGCAATCCAGTGAAAAAATCACAGTTGTAGAGTTCTTTTGTAGCTGCATCATAGTCATCATTAAGTCCACCAAACACTCTATCCACAACATTTGTATCCGTTTGCTTCCGTTGTTAGTGGTGTTGAACCAGTCTTTGCAGTTTTCGTCATCACCAGATCCGTTCGCAGAAACTAGATATGAACTTTTCAAGCAGAGATTGAGATTGTATTCCTTCGAATGCATTCAGCCATATTGAGAAAATTCTGAGGATATATACATATCAGGTAAATTAATCTTACCTCTGGTGAACAATTCCTAAACTTAGCCACACTGAATATGTGAACAAAGCAAGGAACAACCACAGAGTTGGTGAAATTCTATAGATTAGTCGTCCATATATTCCACGATATATTTCAGGAATTGTGTAACTTCCAAACCACCTGTCACATTTTCTCTTCCATAAAAAGCAAATATTATACACGTGACTCTTATCCATCCGTTGCAATTAACTGAAAGATAAAATCTTCAAACTTTATACTTCTTTGATTAAGTTGCCCAGTAATATTCTCCTTGTAAGTGGATCTAATGCTTCTCACATCTGTGAAATTTATAAGCATGTTAACTTGGTCCCTTAAGCTAGAAAATATAATGTCTATCCGCTTTTATTATTGCTATTTCAAAGCCCGCTTCGGTAACGTAAGGCACGTATTAGCCGCAACGTTTACGCCAAGGAAAATCTACCAATCACAGCGTGCATAAGTGACCTTGAAGTGCTCAGCCTCTCCATAAGCCATTTGTGCCGCTATCCTATCTCAATATCCACTTGGAGATGATCGGCGTAGGTTGCTTCGCATTTTGCCGTGATAATTGTTTTGATATGAAGTGTTGTGATAAAAAGTAGGTTTTTCAGAGTTTGTAACGTTTTTCATACACAAGTGCTTCAGGAAACCATGTCACTCTCCCGATGCTGACAAGATTAAGGCCTTTTAACCTCTTCATAACAGAGGCGGTTATGCCGCTAGTTAAAATAGTGCGTGTTATGTATTTAGTGTGTTCCATGCTCATACATTTCTTATCACTCGAAATAGAAGCTTCTGTTCCGGTTCTAAAGTTCCCGGTTAGCACATTCTTTGTGTCTCCTGCAGACATTTCGGGACACGATTCTTCGGGCGTACTGCAGGAAGCGAAACAGTTGTCTACAGTGTGCCCCGAAGAGTCTGGACTGCACACGAGGTTTTCCTGGAATAAAAATTAGGAGATTTTGGGGAAATGCAACATTTCTTCCACCGAAAAACCCAAAAGAATTTAAAATTTGGGTTGGGAGAAGCTAACACACGCAATGGGATCATTTGTTTGACAGCTGCAGAACGACCATCTACAAAGTGTTTGCAGTCTGCACAAATGACTTTGCCCGCATAGACTGTATTTGCCATGGCCACCTCTATTAATTCGTCATGAAAAATTAATTATCTGATTTTTCTCCCATTACTATCTCTAATAGTATCCTTAGCTCGATACTGCTTAATTCCGGTTTTCTTCTTGTCAACTAATTTTCTTCGACTAGGTTAATCATGCTGAGGTGTCTATTCAAAAGCAACTGAATCTTTTTCTGTTGAAAAATATATTCGAGTTGTCACCATTATCGGCAAGGTTTTTTGGATGCTGCAATCATAAGGCGAGCCCAGTGTGATTTCTTTGTTGAGCAACAAACCTCGGAAACAAGCCTTAAGGGAAAGGGATTCTTAAACAATAAATTTTTCAGGTCACTCCAAGCGATGTACGAAAATTAACTAGTGACAAATGTGAGGTGAAGAAAACATATTAAGGGTGTAAGACATCTACATTCGCCAGTGAGAATGTAAACGTATTATTGATAATAAAGTTGGTAGTAATCCTACTGGTGTTACTCAAATCTTTCCCAGTCTTCTTTGGTTTTCATGCTGCTGATGTAAGGCTTTCTGGGAATACGTTCTCAGTTTGTCATTTCCCGCACGGCTCACACTTGTCAACTTTCAGCGTGTTTCTTACCTACCAAATTGGCTCTCTGTTTTATCCTGCTGAAGTTATCACTACATGTTAGAAGGGATGGCTTACCTTTCGTTCATATGCATTTGTGCAACTTCGGTTTCAGTCTTATATGAGTGGTGTACTTCAAAGATTATCATCCATTTGACATTTCGGCCGAAATATTGCACTTTTAACTAGACAAGCTTTTGTGTAGTGTACCAACCCTTTGCCTAATCCGTCATTTATCAGTTGTGCTTTTTGAATAAAATAACCCTGTGAAGGGGGAAATGAAAAGGTTAGTGTTTTGAAACTGGATGACTTTTCTTATCAGTACAACTGGCTTTTTCCTACTACTCAGTTTTTGCTTCGATTTTCCCGTATACTAAATACTTCCTATTTTGACCGATTCAGCTACATCAGTATTTTCTGACAGATCACCTTTAAGTACTGATAAGACTCAATTGGGGTCTTCACATGCACTAGATTTTATCTCTGTTCCTCAACTCTTATCTTGCGACCTGTTTCTGATGCTAATTAATAACGCTCTGTCTGGTCTTGACTATACTTTCCTTTATTAGGTGAAGCAATCATTTCGTATTTCCTGCAACCTTCGAAATTCAGTGATTTTCGGGTCTGATTCTCACTGTTGTTTATCATAATCTCCAATTGTCACGAATTTCTTGCTCAAATTTTTGATTCTAATTACCCAAAATAGATCTCCCAGGCATCAGGCTGAGTCGAGGGTACTTTGTGTGAAGGCTGACACTGCGTAGACTAAAGTAGGTGGAGGAAACTCAAACCTGGGGCCAGTTAGCTGAATGCCTGGTTCTAAAGTCAGTAAGCAACATTTCCAACTGCGCAATTCAGAAGTAGACAGAACTGAATATAACGTTCTGAAAGAGATTTCATTGTAAACAAGATCACATGACCTTTCTCCACTTCAGTTTTGCACATGCGAGTGTGGATAAAGCCTGTTAACTCAGCAGTTAAGTCATTTTCAAATTGTTTTTGTAGGTGACACTATGTGAAGCTCAATTCTGTGGATGCGAAATGTACACACAGGACTTATCTAGTCCACTCGATACTGAAGATGTGTACTACACACATAATGGGAGAATAATTAATAATCTTGAGGATATTCCAAAAGATGCAGTGTTGCAGAAACATTATCGTCTTCGCGGTGGCAAAGGTGGTTTCGGATCTATGCTGCGAGCCATTGGAAGTCAAATAGAGAAGACAACCAATCATGAAATGTGCAGAGATTTATCAGGCAGAAGAATGCGTGATGTAAATATGGAGAAGAGATTAAAGGAGTGGTATGCTACAGCCGATGAGCGGGAGCGTAAGAAGATGGAAGAATACCTTGAGCGAAGACGAAAGCGTCAAGAGTTATTAAAAGAAGGTCCACTACCTGGACACAAATTCTCTGACCGTGATTATGAGCGACAAAAACGAAAAATTGCATATGAACTACGAAGCGCCTTAGACACAGGTATAATCATTTTGTGCATATGAAATCACTATCTGTTTAGCAATAGAAAATGTCTTAAAAGAAACCAAGTCAACAGCAAGTTTGTCTCCAAGCTCTTCGATAGAACAGCACAGTACAAAGCGTACTCGGTTATGGATAGAAGAGCTAGATAATGTATTATGTTCTGACTCCAGTGAAGAGGAAAAGTTAGAAAATGAAGACTTCTTATCATCTGATGGTTCTCCTAATCCTGAAAAAGAAAATGATAATGAAGATACTACGAAGTCTACCGACATTCCTGTAGACTCTTCAGAAAATAACGATTCTAAACAAGAGACTACTAGTAGGTTACATTCTTATTAATACTAGCATATGTCGTTCGCCTTTTTTAATTAACCGCGAAGTGATCCAATTATTAATATACCAACCGTAAAATTGCCTTACATATTTTTGCCTAAATAGTTGAACAGAATACCCTTATTTTTTTAATCACGAGTGTATATCATATCATGTCAATTATCATTAAGTTATAATTACTGTAAACTCCATCCACCCACACAATTGATAGGTAAACTGACCATACTTTTTGACCGTAAATACTAGGAATGACAACCACAGAAATGAGAATAGAATTTGGACACGGTGTTAAAGTTTAATTCCATCACAGAATAACCACAGAACAAACAACAGAAAAATCTTAATGAAAGCCTCAACTCTCAAAAATGTATATATCCTGAAAAAACCTTTAAGTTCATAAATTCAGTGAGTAGATTATTGACTTGTTTTTAATCACCAAAAAGTTGTGTAAAAAGATGTGGTTTTATTCTAATTACAGGTAACGAGAAGAAGGAAGATTCGGAAAATTCACGTGTCGACCATCCAACAGCAGTTGTACAGCCCTTAACGGATGAACAGTTGAATGAGATAAATACTGCAGAAAGTCTGGAAACATTTGGATTAGATGTTCTTAAGGCAACTTTAACTGCCCGGGGTTTAAAATGTGGAGGAACTTTAAAAGAAAGAGCTAACCGACTGTTTTCAGTTAAAGGTTTAAGTCCTGATCAATATCCTATGAAATTATTAGCTAGGACCAAATAATCCTGATTAATTTACTAGATGTTATTTTTCTCATAGTGTATGTATATAAAAATGAACGTGTGTTTTGTGTACTTTTGAAATTAGTGCTATTCACTTGAATCGTCATTAACTAATTTTTCTCCATATTGATACACTTGAATGTTTACACATATGCAATAGATTTGGTGTAATAATTAAGTAAATTATACTATATTTACAAGTAAAGCTTTTTGAGTAGAAAAATAAAGATTAATTATTCTCTCTCTCTCTATCTCTGAATTCGACAAAGTTGAATGATAAACTTTAAGTAGATGGATGGATAACAAGAAATATTCTATATAATGGTGGTATTACAGTACTCATGTGGATGTGAATGTTTGTTTGAAATGCTCTAAACAACTAGCTTAATAAGTAGGTATAACTTTAGCCACATTTTTTTAAAGTTAAACTTTCCAGCTGTCGAAAATCATTAGTCTCATATAGTTGCTGTTTTACAATACACATATATATTTCCTCTTTCAGATTTTATTCTACAAAGAGTTACTTGAATTCCTGAAAGAGAATGATTCTATAAAGTATTTAAAATAATAACATTATTATTATTCGCACACTTGTAAGTTGTTATATCATTGAGACAAAGTGGTGAATTTTTTTACTACATAAAGTCATAATTATTTTCCTTTTTTAAAAAAAAACAACAAAATAAATTTGACACATTAGCTGATCTGAAATAAAAGACACGAAAGGAGTTGAAAAACAAACAAATAAGACAAAACTGCACAAGGATAACAACGTATTTTCAAACACGAAACAGTAGTGTCAAGAAAAAACAAACTAAAATCAGGTTTTCATACACTTTACACAAGTGAGAACATGCGATGATATATTCGCGAATAAATGTGTTGTCATTGAAGAGAAGAGAAAAGTGTTCACCTGAGACTGACTGATTAGGTGGGACATGGCGCTGCAACTGAAAGTCAAAAAGTACTCTATATAAGCACGATAATTTCTGTTGTTGGATAGAGACAACAAAAAAAGAAAAGAAATGAAACATCCAAGAAATTCTGAGATTTTAAAATGAAGAGAGAGAAAAAAAGCAGCAGCTTTCCTTTCATAAATCACAGCCCACTGTACAAACATGCTTGGATAGACGACGGAGTATCATTGTAGTACACAGCTTTTATCAATTCGACGTCTTCTAGGCGATATCATATTTGTATTCTGTTCCAACTCGAGCTCTTCAGCTAGCCTGTAAATTTATGATTAAAAATAATCAAAGGAATGGAATAGCCAAAAACTTACGCTTTCTCATGTAGGTCGAGTTCTTGAATCATGTCGTCACGTTCATTGACCAATCGTACAAGATCACGTAAAAGTAGATCTTCTCGTCTCCGGTCGCTGTCTGTTTTCAAATATTCTAGTTTAGTTAAAATAAACCACAAATTGAATTACTGACAATCGAAGGGAAAAAGCCATGTACAGATTGACTTTGTACTTCTGATTTTGGCGATAAAAACAACTAATGAGAACAGTCAGTGTTTTCATTTTTTGGTCGCAAAATAGACATTTTCTGATTGAAAGAAAATTGTATTTACGGAGTGCTGTCTGTCGGCTAACTTCTCAAATGTTAGCCTACCTAGTCTCCCAGTCTTTGTGAAAAACTAATTGGTGGATAACAATGCTTAATAAAGTATGTTCATTACGATAAGGTAACCAAGCGTACATAGCACCTGCGTGAATTAAATACTGGTGTACGAATAAGAACTGAACCTGCAGGTATAGGACTATTCGAAAGGCCTACTTCAAAGTACACCGCTTTGTTTACTTTATTGTTGAATTACACAATTAATTAGCTTCACAAAGCAGTCAGTGACGCGCATCTCTAAGTTATTCAGTATTCAAAATACGAACAATAATTCTAGACATTGAAAATAAATTTAACTGTTTAAACGGATAATGACTCCTTGTAGACGCTATTAAACTTCACAATCGAACCGTCTATGTGCTGACATATATCTGAATATAAGTACGGTAGAAGTAATCTTCTTCTTCGACAGCTAACATAAGAATGCGATCATATAAAATATAACATATATGCACATTAACCAGTTCAGCCTGAAAGTGTACGCCCATCGTTTTATGCTTAAAAGACTAATTACTTAGACCACTAGATCAAAAGAGATTACATGAGTGCCAAGTAGACGAGGAATAGTAGATACAGTCATATTATTATTATTGTTCCGAGTGGAACATAGGGCATCAGCAACACATCTCCCACTTTGTTCTATTTCCTGCCGTTCTCTTCATCTGGGCCCACGACTGCTCATAATCTCTCATCTTGATATGTATCCACATGATGTGTGTGTTTTGTTGTTGACAGTCTATTATATTTTGCTATGTGTATATGGATCGATATTCCATTATAACTGACAACATGCTTCTGTCTGTCCACTAACTAAATAAACATGTATGACCTTGTTATCACATAACATTACAACCAATCATGGTAAGATGTTATCTTATTGGTTCATGTGTACTAGCCATTTTCATATATACTTTTGTACTGTATTCTTGTTCCCACATTTTGTACATTTAAGTACCCTTCCACTCACACACTTGTGTGACATTTATTTTCCTTGTCTGGAAAATACAAGTATCATCGTAAACCTGGTGGTCTTCTGATTTCCCACTTTTCGCGTCAGGACTATTAACTACTCGACGAGTACATAACACATCTCCTCCTCACATGATCGCTCCTACATACCACCATACAATGACGCACTCGTTGTTTCCCATTTGGATTACACTCGAGGGCCTGGCTCGCAACGTCAATTGACGGTCTTCTAAACATATGCCCAATCCGTCTCCATTTTATCCCACATATTTGTTGGACGATAAGTTCTTGGTTGGTTTGCTCCCACAGTTTCTTGTTGCTAATTCTTTCTGATCATATGATCTTTGATATAGAGCAAATGCAGCCATTGATAAAAGTCTGCAACATGTTGGAAATGGTTTTCGCGATGCGCCAAGTTTATGACCCATATATAAATATAGTAATATAAGTGATAAGAAAACTGAAAATCATCCTTCAATTACCTTCAACAGACAGAATCGATCTTAACTCATCCTGCAACATGTGCATTTTCTTCTTTAAATCGTCTTCCTTCTCCCTGAAATTAAACAAATTAAGCGGACATTCACTTATCCATTACCGTCATATAATGAAGTGTAACGGAATATTTTCTGTTATTCAACACTGCAGATTAACTTTCAACTAGTTGGTACAATGATTTTAGGTAAACAAAAAGCTATAGAGTAATAAAAACAGTAATACTACGTGTGTTATAATATTCAGTGAATGTAAGTTATCAACTCATGAACACTCATCAATAAGCATCGAGTAAAATACACTAACTGTGAGTAGAGTTATTTAGCTCCAAAATATATTACTACACTACCATATTCCTAAACAGTGATCTTTAACCAGTAATGAGGAGCCTATATGTAGCCTAAAATATAGAAGTTTCAAGTTGAAAAGCAGTGATCGAATAAAAATTTTGAGGATTGACAGGAATTATTACTTTTTTTTGTAGCTTTTCTCATAAGACTCATGGCTACACAATATTAACTTGGAACAGGAGATCTAAGGTTAGCGCTTCAATTACAAGCAATCTGTTAACACGTGCAATATATCAACCAGAGGTTTTAGAATATTTATGAAGACATTGATCAAATTTGAAAGATTCTATATAAAAGTTCTTATCGTGTGTAGTAAAAAAGTCAGCTAGATTAAAAAACAACAAAATCAGTAATACAATCTTTCGAAAAGAGCCTAGATCACATGCAAATTTATGAGGAGAAAAAAAGGTGTAGATTTAACGCGTTTTATTGTCGCTTATCGAGGTTAACTATTGACAGAACCCAAAGGTGAGAGAAAATGAATGATATCAAGTGCTGTTGAACGATCAAGGCCTAGAAAGCTTAAATATTTTAGTCATATCGTCAACGAATAACAACCACCCTTCATTTGTCATTTCTCTATGTACTGGCGTCACAGTCAGGATAAGAAGCTTATTGATAAAGACTATGAATGATTCATGTGTACATGTCATCAGTTCTACTACACTGAGATGTTATGGTGATTTTCGGAAGCACCACTATGCTTGAAGATATCAGGCAATCTATGTCTAGAGAGTTGCTTAGAAGAAAAGGCATGTTTACTGAACAGTTGATGTCTATGAAAGTCTTGAATAGTGATTCGCATCTCAACGAAGACATTAACTGAAGTTCTTAGTCACTGAAAAACTGAGTGTTCTTGATGCTGACGTATAACTCACAGTGAACACTGTATATTATCAGGAAGTATACTGTGAAATCCATTAGAACAATTGTCAGCATCCCTCATTCACGTGGACTCAGAATGGATAAAGAAACCTACACTGTAGCTCAATTACAACCAAACTAAAATTCTTAAGGGACAAAAATCCATAAAGTGATCGTGAATTCATCTAATATAAATCAGCATTCTTCCATATTGCAGAGATCTATGGAAACTGAAGTGGAAGCAGTAATGCTGGGATAGTTGCCGTTAATGCTATTACTTGACATACAGATATTACACACTTCCGATCAAAGGTGAAGGACATTACAGTTATATATATTATAAGATTACTAGAGTTTACGTTGTGAATTCAAATTCCTTAGCAGAACAAATTTATTTGTATTAAATCCTTTCAGAATATAGAAAGTTGTCAACTTATTAGGCTTTCGCTATATTTTATTTTATTGCGAGTGTTAACTAATCAAATCTGTATCGATTTTTGAATACCACAAAATCGACACAATTATTGTTATTATTTCAAGTTAGAGAAACATTGAAAAACAAAGAAGTACTGGATAGATGTTTCATCATGGTTTGGGCCTCTCCAGAGGTATGCACCCATGCCGGCAGCTAGGATTAGACCCAGTCCTCTCACTGATGCCAGTTTACGATTCTACATGACACAAGAGTCAAATCCCTGCAAACCAATTATATTTATTATTATTATTATTATATCCTTTAATTCCTAGAGGAACATAGGGCTTCAGCCACGCGTCTCCATTGGCTTCGGTTTTCTACCAACTTTTTCACTCCGCTCCAGGTCTGCCCACATGCTTTCATTTCCTCTTCATATGATGACCTCCTCCAAGTCACCCTCGGACTAACGACCAACCCGCCGCTTCTCTTTCGGGTTCAACTCGAGCGCTTGCCTAATGATGTAATTTAATGGTTTCCTCAGCGTATGGCCAATCCATCTCCATTTCTTCCTGCCTATTTGTTTCACAATCGGTTCCTGGTTGGTTCGCTCATTGCTAGATATCCCTGTTGCTGATCTTTTCTGGCCGGCCATCTGATCTTGAGTATTGAGCGAAGACAACTGTTAATGAAGGTCTGAAGTTTGTTTGAGATGCTCTTTATGACGCGCAGTGCAAGTCTCTGATCCGTATAGTAGCACTGACTGACTTCTCATTGGAGTTGAAAATCCGGATCTTATTTTTCATGCTAAGTGATGTTGACTTCCACACAGACTTAAGAGTAGTGAAAACTTGTCTTGCTTCCTATTGCTACTGTCTGCAAACCAATACTGGAAAACATTACTACTATTATCATCATTACTGTCGACCGTGTCGTGTAATAAAAGGCAATAAAAAGCCAAATGAAACTAACCTACAAATATGGTCAGTTATACTAATCTTGTTAAACTGACGACTTGTTTGTTGAAAAAAAATATCAACAATAAATCACTGACTAATAGTACATAATTGATAACATGCTTTATAATATTAAAATAATAACTAAATAAAAGAAAAAGTGGTGTAAATGAATAGTCTTACATAATATTTAGTTGAATACCACGACGGATTAATGCATTCTTCTTATTGACTAAAAGAAACCATCTTCTTAACAATTCTTCTTCTAATGCTGTACCAGGTTCACGAGCCATTTGTTGACGTAACCGTTTCTCTAAGTCAGCTGCTTCTTTGTCTAATTGTTTCTGTGCTTCTTCCAATTCAGCTTGTTCATTATTAATGTAATTTGAAATAGACAGATCTGTATTCACTGGAGGGTTGTTGTTAACTACTGTAGAGGCTGAAACGATACATTACATGTGTACATTTATAAATGATCAAAATCCTCGCAAAGATTAAAAACGTCTTGGTTGTGATAACTATAACCGACGGGCAGATAATTCTGCTTGTCAATTAGGATCAAATGTACTGTAAAATATCGTGTTTTTCTAACCTCACTGCTGTAAATCTACGACGACTGCAAGCAACGGATCCTTGATATCCTTGAAGTATTGAGTGTCTACTGGAACCACAAAATGAGTCATTCAGTGGTTAGGCATAATCTTATATGAGACAAGCAATTCAGTCAGTCGAGGTGTTTCAAACATATACAACGTAACATATAAAATAATTTATTGTCTAACCCATTATAGAATAAAAAGCGAAAAAATGATCAGAAAAATATGTAGTATAAATCCAAAAAGATCATCAGCTGTTTATACTCTTAGTCCTGTAGTAAAAACCAGCTTATCTGGCTGGGGTGAGTATTATTGTATCAGAGTGATCTGTGTCTGGAGAGACAGAATAGACTTTTCATTGAAACACTGAAAACAATTTAAGTTCACAGAACACAGCATCAGTTATGGAGAGAAGAAAAAAAGAGAAAAGATTAACAGTTGTTTGCCTATATGACCAAGGTGTCGGGTACAATAACAATCATAATTATAACTTCAAACAATTAGTTCCTTTTATGAATTTATACAAAGCAAAATAAGAAGACGTAATTTGTCTGAGTCGTGTAAATGTATTTGCGCGCACAACACATTCCGAACAATCGGATTACACACAGACTTGTCACAGGAATATACATGAAATTAATAAAGAGGTGAGAGAGTGATTGCAGTAGATTGGATAATGCGACAGACAACGGGCAATGAGGAAACAGGCATAAAATGGGCTCACACAAAAAACTTGTAGGATCTGGACTTCGCCGATGATATATGTCTGATTTCCCACAAACTGGAAAATATGCAAGTCAAAAGCAACAAGTTGGCAGAAGAAGCATCAAAGATAGGACTTCCTTCAGGTGAACATAGAGAAAACAGAGGTGATGAAGATTCCTGGTCAACAGCAACAACAGACAACAATCAGCCAGCATAAATGGAAGGAACCTGAAAGAAACAACCTCTTCTACCTATCTACCGACCAGAGAAGCATCGTTTCAACTACAGGTGGACGGAACTGACGAGGATATCAAAGCCAGAATCGAGAAAGCAAGACAAGTTTTCACTACTCTTAAGTCTGTGTGGAAGTCAACATCACTTAGCATGAAAAATAAGATCCGGATTTTCAACTCCAATGAGAAGTCAGTCAGTGCTACTATACGGATCAGAGACTTGCACTGCGCGTCATAAAGAGCATCTCAAACAAACTTCAGACCTTCATTAACAGTTGTCTTCGCTCAATACTCAAGATCAGATGGCCGGCCAGAAAAGATCAGCAACAGGGATATCTAGCAATGAGCGAACCAACCAGGAACCGATTGTGAAACAAATAGGCAGGAAGAAATGGAGATGGATTGGCCATACGCTGAGGAAACCATTAAATTACATCATTAGGCAAGCGCTCGAGTTGAACCCGAAAGAGAAGCGGCGGGTTGGTCGTTAGTCCGAGGGTGACTTGGAGGAGGTCATCATATGAAGAGGAAATGAAAGCATGTGGGCAGACCTGGAGCGGAGTGAAAAAGTTGGTAGAAAACCGAAGCCAATGGAGACGCGTGGCTGAAGCCCTATGTTCCTCTAGGAATTAAAGGATATAATAATAATAATAATAAGAGGTGAGAAAATAAATTTAGGTCAAGTTATAAAAGGACATACTGAAGGTCAAAATAACACAATGGAGTTCGCCAAACCAAATAACAGACGTAATATTACATTAATATACAATTGGTGAATGGTGGCTAGGAGTGGAATCCAGGATAAGGCACATTTCGTCCTATTTTGGACTCGTCACTGGATGTACCTGCGTTTCTCAGTGAGTGATGATGTTCCCACTGAGGCTCGAACCCAGTGCCCACAATTTCAAACGCCAAAGCGTTATCCACTAGACCACTTGGGCCACGAGAGCCACCTCCTGTGCAACGGGTCATATTAATTATTGAATTGAATTTTTGATTTTCCCGTCGATTGATTGGACCGAAGTGCTCGGTCTCAGGTTGACATGTCGGGATAACGCTTTGACGTTTGAAACTATGGGCACTGGGTTCGAGCCTCAGTGGGAACATCATCAATCACTGAGAAACGCAGGTAAATCCAGCTGACGAGTCCCAAATAGGACGAAATGCGCCTTATCCTGGATTCCACTGCTAGTCACTATCCACCAATTGTATACTAATTAAATGCCCAGACACCGTCGAAGCATCTGCACAAGAAGCCGACATGTCAACCTGAGACCGAGCACTTCGGTCCAATCAATCGACGGGAAAATCAAAAATTCAATTCAGTAATAGTATATTGGCTATGGTATCAAAACAAAGTTTTACCAAGGAAGGTTTATTTTCACGACGAATTGTTGATTTGATCGCATTAAAGTGGTTCAAACTTTCTAGTTGCTAGGCTGCTTTCACAAACTTTAGGAATATACCCTAAAAACATTTAATAAATAGGTTTAAAAGACATGTCAACATCAATTTACGTCCTGTCGCTATATAATATGTTTCGTAATAAATGAGCTAGGTCTCCTGTTCATACCACAAACGGGTTCTGAGGATTCTATTTGCTTCTGAAGCCGGCTCTTACTTGCAGAAACTGATGAGTTCTTCCTATGTATATGTGTGTCCACGTGTACATTCAAATTGATAAAAACAATGGGATGTGACATTAATTTTCGCATGTTCATGATTATAAGGCTAAGTTCAGTTTATAGAATCATTTAGTCATAGTTTAATGCGTACAATAATGCACAAGCTGTACACACAGCATAGACTCCTAATAGCACCTGTCGTGTCTTAGTCTAGACAAATGAAGATAATTATTTTACTTTGCTAATTTACTAAATTATTTCGTTAAAATATTTACCTCTAACAGTAATATACAAAAAATAAATCCAATTTTGTAGGCATATTCAGAAACTACTACGGATATAGACAAAGTAATTTCAATATTATTAGAGGTAATGACTGAGTGAATAACAGAAACATTAAGAAATTATGGAACAGATTCTTAGGCTAAAATGAGCGTCTTTTAGTATTGCAGCATGAAGTCAACACTGAAAGTATCTTCCAGAAGGACAATAAAAGTACTTAAGATTGAACAAGTTAGCTTAGATAACACAACAACATCAAATACCGTTACAGTCGCTTATTTGCATATATGATGAAATACAACATAACAGTTTTTAAAATCTAAATTAAATATTATCAATAGGCTGATAGCTGAATAAAGTACTGTTATTACTAAAGGACTGAATGAGTGTATTTCTGTCAAGAATAGTATAACACATTAGGAAATAATTCAACTTAATTTTGAATAATGTTAATCATGATAGCAAGAAAAGTGGAAATGTAACTGAGCGAATGTCCACATTTCTGTCCAGTTGGGGTAATGAACAACACCTGTTGTTTAAGGGTTGGTCAAACCTCGGTAGGTGGAGCTGAGTTTCGACCCATAATCTAGTGCTATAGAATCTCGAGTGTCTACCGCCAACAGTCAACATACCAGGGTAAATGAAACATGAATCACCAATTCAGCATAAAATTGTATCGCAGGTGAAATATTGAAGAAGAATAATGATATTTAATTACGTATGTCTAGTCATCGCCTTCCACGACTGGCAATGTTAGCTGACACAGGGTCAGGTTGGAAAAGAGCTAGTGGTGGTCAAACCAAAACATGGCACCAGTCAATGAAATCCACAACAGTTAGTTTAAGCCAGCCACGTGTGGAGGTATACACTTGCTTCCTGACTGGTTTCAGTCCTCGGGACGGTAAAAACCAATGGTGATATGGCTCAAAATCGTTTTCAATGGCTGGTTCAGATGCTGCATCCACTCCTTGTGACTTATGATTTCCAATGAAGCTATATTGTTCTTCGTTATTACTATTCCTTTGTCTCACACCTCTGTTTACTGTCTCTATTATGCATTTCTTTTCTTGCTTTGTGTGCTACATGGAGAGTGTGGCGAATTGAACTGCTGTACATCGGTGCAAAGTTTTTATGTCGTAAACAGACAGACAGACAGTAATACAATAATACACCAAGTACTTAACTGATAGATAACGAAAACCAGTGGGCTTGTTACAAAGATGTGATGTTTAGTTGCTGGAAAGAAGGAACATTAACAATTATATTTACCAAATAGTAAACCTAGTTGGCTAGAGTGACACAAGCTAGGCTTATTCGACACCAGCACGAAACATAGGTCCAAGGCTTCCTGCCGATTGCCTCCAACCATCTAATACCATCAAATCAATGTGCACTGTGATGGCGAGCTAGCTAGAATGGTGGTCACATTACAACCTGACTGATAGAATTCAGTCTACACCAATCAGAGGACTAGACGCATCACACTTGTTACTAGTGTCAAATCAAAATATCCACTACAGTCCTACAGGAGATCAATCGCGAGCCCGAATAGCTCAGTGGTAACGTCTGTGACTGCAGCACTGGGTGACGCGGGTTCGAATCTCAGAAGGGACATGAGTTCCTTCAAGGTTGCAGATACGCCTTGCTGATGAGTGCCAACTAGCATGAAGCCTAGGTCCAAGGCTTCCTCCCGATTGCCTCCAACCATCTAATACAAGCTAGGCTTGCAACACACTTAGTCAAAAGGTGTCTATTAGTTCGTAAATTGAGTGCTAGAGTAGTAGAATGGATTGTTTTATATTGAATGTTGTCGAAAATTTCATTTCACCTACCTTGATTTTTATTCTGTATTGACAATAAAAATTCCATAGATAATTGTAAAGCGTCAAAATGTTTCATGTTCACGAATGCAAATAAACAGAAGAAGAAGAAAAAAAAAATTATATTCATCAAATTTGGATGTAATGGATAAAAAGAAATAGGAATTAATTATTAACAAGTTACTTTGGCTTAGTTGTTGTTTGAATATATGCATAGATTAATTTAAGCTGGAGGCATACAACAGATCGTCAAAACAATGTAAAGAATAATAAAAAAAACACGACCCTTCAAAAAGGTTAGCGTGTCTGTGTGTGTATGCACCTGATTTCATCAAATTTACCATCTTCTGAGACTTCAGATTTACGTCTTATATCATGGTGTATCTCAGCATACGTATCTGATATGTATCCACATATATATATTTGTGTGTGTGTGTATGTTGGTCTCTCTTTCTGTTTATCTGTGACCATTTCACTGGTATGAACTTGTCTCCTTTAACAATGTATATTCTCCTTATATTATATTATATATAATATGAGTGTTTGTTGACAGTCCGTTGCTTAGTGACATATATCCATATATGGTTGTTTGACATGTCTGCTATATTCGCTATGTATATTTGGATCGACACTTCATTATAATTAGCCATCCATGTTAAGACTGTCTAATGATTTTTCCCACGCTTTGTCTGGAACATTCATATATATTTCGCATTCACAATCTTGTGACTTGACTTTACTTACTTACCACTTTGGTGTGAGACCATTTATTTTCGTCTCATTGTGTTTGGACAATAGAAGTATCATCGCAAACCTAGTGGTCTTCTGATTTCCGCCTTCTCGCGTCAGGACTATTAGTTTCTCGACCAGTCCATAACAATAATTTAGCGAGGAGTACATAAAAATTTGGCGACGGGAAAAACTACTATTAACCACTCAGCAGCAGCAACATAACAATTTACTATGGATTATTCTAAATTGGAATTATTGTTTGAACAACAATTGAAATTAATGGAAATGTTCGTTAACCAACAGACTGGTCCAGCTTCACCTTCAAGCAATCCCAATCATACCATGCTACCATCTGTCGACGGAATTGTGAACAGTATTTCACAGTTCAATTATAATCCAGAGGCTAATGTCACTTTTGACACATGGTATCAACGTTATGAGGATTTATTCACTGTTGATCTCGCCTCACAAGACGATGCCTGGAAGGTGCGAGTGCTGTTACGTAAATTGGGTCCGGCAGAATATGAACGGTACTGCAACCTTATTTTACCCCAGAAACCACGTGACATATGTTTCGATGATACAATAAAGCTGCTGCGTGAACATTTTGGAGACTACTCCTCATTATTCAGTATACGTTATCGTTGCCTCAAGCTGTCAATGAATGAAAATGATGATTTTCTTACTCACGTTGGCACAGTCAACCGAGAATGTGAGAGATTTCGACTCAGGTCCTTAACAGATGATCAATTCAAAGCCTTGATCCTCATATGCAGTCTCCAATCTCCTCGTTTCACAGATATCCGAACTCGACTGCTCAATCAGCTAGAACAAAATCCTAATTTAACATTACATGACATAGCTGATGAATATCAACGGCTGATTAATCTGCAGAAAGACACACACCTGGTCGAATCAACACCTTCGAGAAGCTCTGATATTCGTGCATTAAGCAAGAGCAAAAATCTCTCATCATCTACTCCTGACCCACCTACTTCTCTTAATGTTCCGCGGAAATTTATACATACTCGTCCAATTTCACAAAATACTGCAAAGAAGACCCCACCATCACCATGCTGGCATTGTGGCGCGTGGCACTTTGTAAAGTCTTGTCCGTACAAAAATCATCGTTGCAGCAAGTGCAAAATCATCGGTCATAAAAATGGTTTTTGTCAGCCACGCAAACCCAGATGTCAAAATCCAGCAAAAGCTCAACAAAATGTTGGTCCTAAATCCCCCAAAACGTCATTGAGTCTACGCACAACCCGTCAAGTCACAACGCCAGGTATGCGGAAATATCTTGATCTTCAAATGAATGGTCATGATGCACGTCTGCAGTTAGATACCGCCTCTGATACTACTGTTATATCAGAGAAACTTTGGAATTATATTGGCAGACCACCTATCACCAATACTTCCCAGTCTCTTGTCAGCGCCTGTGGTGGGCGGCTCAAACTAATTGGTGAACTCAAATGTTCTGTTTCCTTCCGCAATACCAAATTCACAGGAATTTGTTACGTCACGAAGAATGATTTAAATTTTTTGGGACTTGATTGGTTCGATCGTTTGCATCTGGCTGATGTCCCACTAAATTCGCTATGCAATGCGTTCAAGAAGCATAAAATGTCAGACGATTCCGGACGAAGCCAAAGCCGCAAACCCAACACGCAGACGAAACGACAGACGTCAACAACAAGCCCAAAGGTTCCAGATAAACCCCCAGGTAAACATCCTACTAATCATCCATCTTCTCAAAAGGGGGGGTGATATGTATCCACATATATATGTATGTGTGTGTGTGTATGTTGGTCTCTCTTTCTGTTTATCTGTGACCATTTCACTGGTATGAACTTGTCTCCTTTAACAATGTATATTCTCCTTATATTATATTATATATAATATGAGTGTTTGTTGACAGTCCGTTGCTTAGTGACATATATCCATATATGGTTGTTTGACATGTCTGCTATATTCGCTATGTATATTTGGATCGACACTTCATTATAATTAGCCATCCATGTTAAGACTGTCTAATGATTTTTCCCACGCTTTGTCTGGAACATTCATATATATTTCGCATTCACAATCTTGTGACTTGACTTTACTTACTTACCACTTTGGTGTGAGACCATTTATTTTCGTCTCATTGTGTTTGGACAATAGAAGTATCATCGCAAACCTAGTGGTCTTCTGATTTCCGCCTTCTCGCGTCAGGACTATTAGTTTCTCGACCAGTCCATAACAATAATTTAGCGACGAGTACATAACAGTATCTTAACGGTAAACTGTGATTCATCGTTTATTTCCGTACGATGTCTAGTTTGTGGTTGATGGTATAAGCCATGTTGCTGCTAAGTGATTCAAATGCAAAGGATTACCACTAAACTAGAATTTGGACAATTATCCTAATCTATTTCAACGGCTCGGTAATACGTTTTACTTAAGACTGTATGTACACTATTTATTCAATAGGTATTGCTATATTTGATAGTGTGAAATATTCCCATATTATGAATTAAAAGTCAATCTAAACGAAGAATATTATTTTCAATAATTTCTCTTCAGGTTCTTATATTTATAAAATATAATATTTGTTGTCGTTACAATGAAGGCCAGTTTTGCGGCGGATACATTTTTAACGTAGAATAACAGATTAGTTATGAGGTGTCAAAATAAATAGTCATATTTGTGTGACAAACGTGCTAGGCTGAAGTCGATCAGAAAATATTGTAAAACGGGAGACAATAGTGGTGATTAATCATAATAGAATTGTAGAGTGTGGGGTAGGAAAACTGATAAATCAGTTCAAGGTTATAAGGTGTCAGGTGAGTGGCTAGTAACCTCGCCAGATACTAGCTTGCTAGGCTACTAGCTTACTAGTTTTCTCGCCGGTCCCAAGCCCGGGTAAAGAGGGAGGGTTGGGGCGTGGTGCTAGCAACTCCACCCCTGTAAAACAACCAAATCGCTACAGAAACTTCAACGAATAAATATATTAAAAATTCTAAAAACATAAGCAATAGCCTTACTTTTCGCTGGAATCGGGGAAGTGAAATGACGCAGGCTGGTGAAAGCCTTCGGGAAGCCAGTCAGCCGATGTGCCTTCTTTCGATGAAAGCAAAAGTAAGGATGGGTACCTGGAATGTTCGTACAATGTACGAAACTGGAAAGGCTGCCCAGATAGCCGCTGAAATGAGAAGGTACAGAATAGAAGTGTTGGGAATCTGCGAGAGCAGATGGAACGGAACTGGAAGGTGCCAACTACCTACTGGAGAGACAGTAATCTTTTCCGGCCACCCAGAGGACAACCATGAGCACACCGAGGGAGTGGCCATCATGATGTCACCAACAGCAACCAAAGCTCTCATGCAGTGGGAACCAATCTCCTCCAGGATAATGACAGCCAGGTTCAACTCAAAAGGAAGGAAAGTTACAGTCATTCAATGCTATGCGCCTACAAACGTCTCAGAACAAGAGAAGAAGGAGGCGTTCTACAGACAACTACAAGCAATAATGGACAACGTCCCAAATGGCGATATCAAAATCCTGATGGGCGACATGAATGCGAAGCTGGGAGGAGACAACACAGGAAGAGAACTCACCATGGGTCGTGAGGCCCTCGGTGAAATGAACGACAATGGTGAACTCTTCTCAGACTTCTGCGCCTTCAATGATTTGGTGATTGGTGGCAGTGTGTTCAAACACAAGGATATACACAAGACGACATGGATTTCACCAGATGGAAACACCAAAAACCAAATAGACTTCATCTCAATTTCAAGAAAGTGGAGACGGAGCCTACTGGACACAAGGTCGAGGAGAGGAGCAGATGTGGGTTCAGACCACTATCTAGTACAAGGGACTTTCAAGGTGAAACTAAAAGCCTCGAGGATAGCTGGGGATAGGCCACAATGCAAGTTCAACACTCAATTACTGAAGGACACAACCACAAAAGACACTTTCACTGCAACTGTCAGAGCAAAGCAGGAAACACTACGCGACATCACTGAAGAATCATGCGTGGAAGAACATTGGAAGTCTCTGAAGGCGATTCTCAACGAAACGTGTTCAACGGTTCTAGGAAGAAAGAAGAGACAAGACAAGGAATGGCTCTCAACGGACACTTGGAAATTAATAGAAGAGAGGAGAATGGTGAAAGAGAAAATGATTCAATGCAAGGACGGACAGGAGAAGGAGACGCTGAGCTCAACTTACACAGCACTGGACAAAGAAGTGAAGAAGAGTGCTAGGAAGGACAAAAGACGATTCTACGACAACCTCGCCACTGAAGCTGAG